ATTCCATGAGCGATGAGATTTTTTTGAAATAACTGCCTGAATGAAATAGGCTAGTCACTGTTTCGAAAAAAATTGCCTAATAGGTCGCGTGCACGATGACCGACCCTGGAGGCAAAATATTGAAACACAACCTCATTCTTCTGTGAATTATTGAAACACAACCTCACTTAATTACTTGGTTACAAAGGAATCAAAGGATTGAAATAGTTTTTCACAATATTTTGGCATACGAATCGTGTTTTTTGCGCTATTCATTAATTCGAGCATGCCTTCGCATTGTGCTGTTGTACAATGCACAAAAAATGCAGCAAGAGACTAAAGAATATGATTTTTCAGGTAAATAGTAATCTCACATAGTTAGCATTATGAAATGTTGTCATTCCTTATTAAAATTCCTTCTGCCTTCTGTCACTTCTGCAATACAAGCTAATACTGCTAATAGATTGAAAATGTCTACAACACACACGATCGTCAGCATGTCAGACCAGTCCTCCCGATTGATTGCATGAATCCAATTTTCTGGCATTATTTTAGAAATTTCAGATGTATTCCTATTAGCTTCTATCGCAGAAAGAATTCCGATGAGAAATCAGAGAAATTACCAAATTTCAAAAATGAAAACTATATGTGAGTGACTATAGTAGGTACTTACTTTTAAATCATGATGTAGCATCCGGATTCCTTCATCTTCCGCTGCAGTTTTTGTGCATTTCACAACAGCATAATGTGGTGGCATGAGCGAATTGATGAATAGCGGAAAAATACGATTCGTATGCCAAAATAATTGTGAAAAACTATTTCAATCACTCGTAAACAAATAAGTAAAGTGACGTTGTGTTTCAATATTTTGCCTCCAGTGTCGGTCATTTGACAGTTCTTGCACGCAACCCATAGTCGTTTTTGCAATTTTGACCTCTTCAACAAACAAAAGTAGGCCTTGAAAATCTGAATATTAAAAATTTTTCCACATTTTCGAATAGAGCTCGTTGAGTAGCATATTATAGAATTTTTGTATCTGAAAATTGGTCGACGGGTTCCGAATAAGGAGGGTGTTGCGGGTTGAAATCGCACACACTGTATATAACCTATAAACTGTCAGAATTTTAAAATGCTCAGTCTACTTCACCGCAGCTTATAAATAAATGAAAGAAAATAATAAAATGAGTCCTCTAAGATTTATAAAATCATTGAAATGTTATTCTGTCAAACGAACAAATCTATCGACATAGTTTACCTGATTTGACTCTAATGATGTTGAACTTTGAAGACCATTCTTAGTATCAAAATTGGATTACGAATTGAGATTTTGATAAAAATACTTCGAAATGGATCTGACTATTTCAAAACATAATAATAAACCATCTGTCGTATTTGATGCGCCCTAGTAAGAAGTAGGTCACTTTATTCATTTTTTCCCACTCTTTCCAAATATCAAAACAGGTCCACAAAATTTTGATGGAGTTGGGTATTAGGGTATTACGCATTCTCTTTGATAAAAATTAATGTAACTTTTTTTGGAGCACGGCACTGAGCACATCTTGATATTTCGATGAATAACAAAATCAATTGACCCACTTTTTCTCAATTGCAGTGTTTTGATAATTTTTCTTGGTTTTCGAGATATCTAACAAAATTCATTCTGGTGCTCCGCGCTCCCTACTTGATTATGATCCAGTTTATGAACTACATTAGCATAGGATAATGTTGTTGGTCATCTTCAAATCATTTATTTTTTCTCGAATGAAGTTTTTTTACCAGAAATCTCGAGCTATGAAATTTGGAAATGTCCAGTTCACAAATCATATGATGATGAGCTTGCGAATGGTGAACATGATGATTGAGGTTAATAACACAAATGAGGTAGTAACGAGCAAAACATGATAATTCTAACATCATAAGCGAATAATATGGAGGAGCACCAAATTGAATTTTGTAATTCATATCGACAATGAAACAAAAAATATAAAAAAAATTAAGAAAGAAGAGTCAGATAATTGTTTTTGACATTCTTTGAAACATTGTCGATATAAATGGCGACAGGTATTATTATATCAGATCGACAATGTTTGAAATATCAAAATGTGATCAGTGGTTTTCTCCAAAAAAGTTACATCAATTTTCAACAAAGAAAATGTGAAATCTACCTATCTGTATATTTATTAAACTGGTCTGACATGGTTCTCATCCACATTCGTGATAGTTATTTGCCCTATGAATTCTAGAGCTGTTTTCAAGGATTTCGGAATATTCAAGAAAAATCTGTGAATCAAATTATTCTTCATCGCCCTCTCACGGCACAACGGTGCATTTTCGTATAGAGGTAAGTTGATTTCAATCGGTCTATTTTGGTATCTAGTTCACCCTGTTGAATTTATGATACGTTGTTCTCAGACACCTTGTATACAGGGTGTATAGAAATGGCTCAAAAAAGTTCCAACCACAGATTCTAGAAACGAAAATGTGGAATAAGTTTATGTAAACATGGGTCCAGAAATGGCCCCCTCGGGAGTTATAGCTATCTAAAGGAGAGCCCGAAATGATGGATATATCTAAATAGTTCCGGAGCCCTCTCTGTTGAGATACGTTTCGATTTGGAAATATTAAGAATTTTCTGAAATTTTGTTCCGGGGCTTGAGAAATAGGTGGGGCTAGGGGCATTTCTTCCTCCAACTCTTTTTCAATGCAGTTTCTGGCAGTTTGAAGAGAAAATATAGAAATATCATAATTTTTACTTGAAAATGATACTCCTGTTCAGTTTCGATAGCACTCGCCATTTTCGAGTTGAATTGATTCTAATAGTCTGCTGCGTAACAAAAATAGTGCTTCTTCCTTACAATAGGGTGGCAAATTTTCACTTACGATATCACGAGAGCTTCAATTATTTCCAGAAATTTTCTTGGGATCACGAATATTTTGAGAAAATTCTAAATATTCGTGTTCGAGAAAAAATTCTCAGATATCAATTGAAGCTTAAGTGGTAAGGAATTTCACACTGAAATTTTTCAAAATTACTTGGATATTGTTGAAAAGGAATATTCTCAGATAAATCATGAACATATAAAAATGGATATATATTTATATAAAGCAATACATTGAGAATTCGCATTCTCTATGTGATGAGAATATTTACTATTTTTCAGTTAATTCAATAGAAAACAACTACTTTCCTGGCTATATGCCACGACGAACATTGAATTATATCTATTGAACACACACGATAAGAGTTTGAAAATAAAATATAAAAATTTCTGAAATTGAGAATTTGCATTCTCCTTCAGACAAAAAATATGTATATACACACATCATTCTGAATATTCAACAGAAAACAACTACTTTCCTGGCTATTTGCCACGTCGAACATTGAATTATATCTGATGAACATTCAAAAAGGGAACATGAAAATTAAGAATAAAATCCTCCGAAATTGAGAATTGACATTCTTCTTCGAATCGGATGAATAATATGATGAATAATGATCTAGAAATATGACTTACCAATATATTCAGCATTGAAATGAAAATTGGAATGTATAGGAGAAGTATACTGGCATGAACTCTGATCTTGATGAGCTTGAAAACGTCCAAAAATAATCATTGATATCAGTGATATGGGAAATATTATCTCTCACACACAGGTTATATGACTTTATTGCAATGAACCCATTTCGGATCTCTGAATCCTCATCAGTAACCATGAAGTCCACTTATTCTTACAGCCATTCTTCATGATATACACAATTTTCATCTCTATATAATACAACTAAAATCGAGTAAAACTATAACGAAATGACATCTGAGAAATTTGTTGACATTCTATTCCTATACATTCCAATTTTCATTTCAATGCTGAATATATTGGTAAGTCATATTTCTAGATCATTATTCATCATATTATTCATCCGATTCGAAGAAGAATGTCAATTCTCAATTTCGGAGGATTTTATTCTTAATTTTCATGTTCCCTTTTTGAATGTTCATCAGATATAATTCAATGTTCGACGTGGCAAATAGCCAGGAAAGTAGTTGTTTTCTGTTGAATATTCAGAATGATGTGTGTATATACATATTTTTTGTCTGAAGGAGAATGCAAATTCTCAATTTCAGAAATTTTTATATTTTATTTTCAAACTCTTATCGTGTGTGTTCAATAGATATAATTCAATGTTCGTCGTGGCATATAGCCAGGAAAGTAGTTGTTTTCTATTGAATTAACTGAAAAATAGTAAATATTCTCATCACATAGAGAATGCGAATTCTCAATGTATTGCTTTATATAAATATATATCCATTTTTATATGTTCATGATTTATCTGAGAATATTCCTTTTCAACAATTTCATACCCAATCAGGGAGTTCAAACTTGAACGATGGAAACTTGTGATTTTTATAGACCTCTTATCGCAGATTCGTGATAGAGTCTCAATTCAGAATTCATTTCCACGCCCTGTATGATGAATGTCAATTTATCATACACCCAAAATTACTTGGATAATGACGATTTTTGATTGTTTTGACATTTGAATAGTAGGCTTCATATGTTAACTCAAAAGAATAATATATTCATCAAATGCAAAATTAGCTTGTCAAACAAAGTGTCACTTTTGATCCTAAGAAAACAAGCTACTATTTAGTACGTTTTTCGATTATAACTTCAGTGAGAAGGTCGAAGAAGTGATCTATCACATAATTCCTTTGATAAAGTGGTACAGAAAGAGTTCCCCCTGACCCCTCAAAATCGTTGCTCGCACGCCACTGCTCTTTTCAATAACTTCTCCAGTATATAAGTTTCAATAAATCGTATACAGTAAATCATATTATTCGTGCTTGAAATCCCGTGAATTGATAAACTTACTCAGTAAAACAACTGTGGTAAAACAAGGCGCACTAACCGCCTTATTTATGTCCAGAAATAAACCAATGAGGTGGTTAGGGCCTCGGGAGCTCCTCCTCCATTTACTTTAAGCTGCTTCACTTACTTCGGATTGCTTCGGGCCACCTATCGCATGATAGTAGTCGATATTTGGTGGCTTGCAATGAAGTTTTTATAGGAAATTTCGAAAATAATGCGGTTATAGTGGAGTGCCGGAGATAGTGGAGTTTTGTTTCGGTGTAATCATTTTGGAATATCGTATTGGGAATGGAGCATGACGGTTGTGGCAGAGACATTTCATAGGTGGGTAAGTTTTCCTACTCCTGTGATAAAAGTATGAGATATCTTTAGGAAGATCAGGAATTAATTGAAATATGTATCGTTATGAATGCATTCTGAGAGACAAAATTACATGAAAATGTCACAGCTACAAGACTATTATACAGGGTGATTCATTGGGAAATGCGCATATAGTAAGGGTAGATGGAGGACACCAAGGTGCTCCTCAATAATCTATATTTTATGGGTCTATCATTCTTTATAATTGAGATACAGGGTGATTTTTCCATTTCTAATCCATAAAATCCTCAAGTATTTCTCATCCGTTTAATTGAGAAACTAGAGGACAAGTCCGTATTTGGGGAACATTATTATGATTGAATGGCTAACTTTGAATACCCCGTATGTGTAAGTGAATTATCATAACATCTGTTTATCGCACTACATTTAAAACAACAATCATGAAAATTAAGAACAATGTCCATTCCGGAAGAATCATAATCTCGTTGCCACAAATCTACATTTTAAAGGTTAAGCATAAAACAGACAATGAAAAACGACGTTTCTTTGTCCACGACTGATTGATTTTTTAGCAAGATCATGATCATTTCTTGAATCTTCTGATGCATTCTCGAAAATAATAACAAAATAAAGCAGTCTGTACGTACACTTTGGGTTTGATATTCCAAATCGTTTTAATTGTCAAGATAACTGATATTAGAGTACCTACAATTTTGACGTTACTTGATGAGTTTGTACTATTTACTTGTGTTTTGTGTTATAAAGTTATTCGTTAATAACACTTATTGCTTATTCAATGATACACAAATTTGATAATGATAAACATTTTGTATGCCTATGGATTTTAACTCAATTCAATTTGTTGCAACGACACTTTTGTTTGAAATGGAGTTGCTTGCTTTTTTCGGAATCGGCATTGTTCAACATTCTCATAATTTCAACTACGAAATAGCCATAATGTCCAAAGTGGAATGAAATGTTGAATAAATACAAAAGCTCAAAGTCATATCCACACAATGTTCATAAAATGAACAACAATGGAAGGTTTCGGGAGAAAAACAACTACTTTCCTAGCTAATGCCACGCAGAACATTAAATTACGTCCTCCCGAAATCTATGCATCGACTCGTAAAAACGAATACTGATACAGGTGAATCTTTCCTGATTTCCTATTGATTTCGATTAGGCCAGGCCACGCTAGACACCTACAGACTCTCATCAGTGCAGGGCAGTCTCCAGCCAGCAGTCCTAAGACCGACGACTAAGCGAAGCCTTTATATATCCAAACAAAAATTGGGTCAGTATTATATTCTCCCAGAGGCGTCTTTCATAGACAATATGGAAGCAACGCCATCTGCTGAGTAGAAACGAAGGAAAGAAACACTCCAAAACTGAAATTCCCATACGAGAGTGGCTGGTCGCCCGACTGGCGTAATTTCAACTACAAAATAGCCACAATGCTCAAAGAGGAATAAAATGTTAAATAAATACAAAAAGCTCAAAGTCATATCCACACAATGTTCATAAAATGAAAAACAATGGTAGATTTCTGGAGTGAAACAACTACTTTCCTGGCTAATGCCACGCAGAACATTGAATTACATCCTTCCGAAATCTATGCATCGACTCGTATAAACGATCGAATACTCTCGCGAATACTGATACAAGTGAATATTTCCTGAATGCCTATTGATCTCGATCTAGCCAGGCCACCCTAGACACCTACAGGCGGGTTTCGAGCTCTACGACTCTCATCAGTGCAGGGCAGTCCCCAGCCTGCAGTCCTAAGACCGTGGATATGACTGAGCATTTTGTATTTATTCATTCTCATAATTGTTGTGTTGAATGTAATACAATGAACAAATGTTATGATAATTTGATGATAATTTTCTTACAAATGAAAGTTAGTCATTTATAATAATAATTTGTCCCAAATACGGACATGTCAACTCGTTTTCAATTAGGTTGAGATACAAAAATAAGGAGACAAAAAAAGTTGCTGATTTTATGGATTATAAATGAGAAATTATCTAAATGAACATAATATCTTGCCATCTAGCCAATCTGGATTTCGTGCAAACTACAGTTGTACAACTGCATTGTTGAAAGTAGTTGATGACATACAGAAAACAATGGACAACAACAAACTTTGCTTGTTAGTACTGTTGGACTATTCAAAGGCGTTTGATCGCATCAATCATGTTCTTATATCTCTCTTGCATTACTTGTGATTTACAGCAAATGCATCTGAATTAAAAAATAATTACTTACAAAACCGATCTCAATGTGTCACTTTGTTTGAATAACAAGTCGTCGAATATCATCAATATCTACAATGGTGTGCCTCAAGGCTACATATGGGGCCCCTTGCTATTTGTGCTGTATACATCTCAGTTCCCGGATTGTCTTCAACATTCATCATGTGTTATGCTGATGACACTCAAATTTACATAGAATCTGATGGAAGCTCTTTCGATCTGACACAAGAGAAACTTAATAATGACTTGAATTCTCTGATGTTATTGTCTGCGGAATATTGCCTGAGTGTTAACCCTGCGAAGTCATTAGTGATGCTATTCGGTAGATCAATATTGCGCAAACGTGTTGCGAATAGAGTAAATATAATTGCAGACGCAGTCACGCTTCCCCTTGTGGATGTGTCAAGAAATTTAGAACTTTACTTGGACACTTCCCTGAGATTCACAAAACATGTATCTCACATTTTGAAACGTGGATATAGCAGCCTAAAAATGATATATTCAAACCGGACAGTCTTGAACAAAAAGACCAAAATACTACTGTGAATCTTTGGTGTTGTCACATGCCAACTTTGCTGATGTAGTATATGGTCCCAATCTCCTCCAAACCGACGAAAGTAGATTGCAAAAACTTCAGAATTCATGCATTAGACTGATAACTGGAACTAGAAGATATGAGCATATATCCCATCACCAAAAAGATCTTGGTTGGCTCAATATGGAGTCGCGACGGATTCTTCACTCTGCTGTCTTGTTCCACAGAATCATCAAAGAAAAGAAACCAAGTTATCTTTATAGAAAAATTAGTTTCAGGACGGACATACACAACCTCAACCTCCGATTTAGAAATCAGCTCTCCACATCAAAATATAAAACTTCTCAGTTTAGAGGATCTTTTTCTTATTTTGTACCTTGGCTGTATAACAGGTTACCGATTCGTTATGCGAACTTTTCGCTGGGGTCATTCAGAAAAAAATTAAAAAATGATATTTTACGTGGTGAAATTACATTGACTTGAAACCTTTTCTGTTTGAAATTTTTACCCACTTTATGTACACGTTTCCATGGGCTATATACTATAATGTGATGGTGAAAATGTTAGACGTAGTATATATTTATATCTATACATACTCTCCTATTTTGGATGGTTGGATGGAAGAGCAAGTTCAGTCTGTGTCTTGAACATGGAAAATCTTTTGTTTACAGCAAAAAGTTCATCCTGTTTATCGTTTTTGTAAACTTTAACAAGGAATTTTCAAGGGTAACAAACAAACATCAAGAATAAAATATTGCAAATTACTTACATTTTCACTACTCCGCTCGTGCTTAAAATACTCGTTACTAAAAGGACGTTTACAACACTTGTTAAATAATATACTATTACAATTCATGAATCGTTCAATTGATAATGAACTCATTATTATACAACTCTCATAGAGAAGTTATCTGGTGATCTGTCCTCTTAGAAGAATGCTTCACCTGTCAGAACAACCTATATGTGAGGCTATCAGCGCAACAATAGCCTAAGACACAAAGGACCCCGCACTTTTAGTACGTAAAATGGTTCTCGGTGAAATTTTCTGAATTTTCAGTATGTTGTAGAATTCGATGAACTGATTGAACCTGCAGAATCGTAAAGTTCTTCGATGAACAGATTCTGAGATACAGGGCGTTGAGGTTACAAATCGGTATTTTTCATTCAATTATTTTCTCGAAATTCAAAGATGCCAAGTACAATTTTTTTCGCTCATATCATCAACGAACCTCCATATTACTCAACATGATTCAGATGGTTCAGATAATGTAATTGTTTACAGAGTGAAACATATAAACATTTCAGTGAATTATGTTGAGTAATATGGAGGTTCGTTGATGATATGAGCGAAAAAAATTGTACTTGGCATCTTTGAATTTCGAGAAAATGATTAAATGAGAAATACCGATTTGTAACTTCAACGCCCTGTATCTCAGAATCTGTTCATCAAAGAACTTTACGATTCTGCAGGTTCAATCAGTTCATCGAATTCTACAACATACTGAAAATTCAGAAAATTTCACCGAGAACCATTTTACGTACTAAAAGTGCGGGGTCCTTTCAGATAATCTGTTTTTCCCTACAAAAATTCTTCACAAGATAAGTTTCAATGCGACAATGGCTTAAACAACCTTCGTATCATTGTTACCATAGATGGCAGCAACATAATATGCAGTTATTCATTTCAATATTTTGGTGGATGAGTAAATGCGACACACTGGCGGCCGAACCCGCATTTTGTGAGGCTTAGGCCAGTATCTCTCTACGTCTTTTTAGGAAGGAAATGAATGATTTGCATTGTTAGAAAGACAATTGAAGGGCTAAAAAGTGTGTTTATTAATTGTTTTTGAGTCTTATTTCGTGTCGTTTGGTATCAGTATGGCTTCTACATCGTCAATATTAAAAAAAAAAATCATCTCAAACCCGTGAACCACCGAACTTGAGATCTTGTATCCCAAAAGGAAAACCATCGATGCAAAGAAAAAGATCTCCTGGACCTGATCCCCTTGTCCGAAATGAGGATGTCAGAGGACGCATCAGAAGAAATATTTCCAGAGGAAGAAGAAAACAACTATAGTTATCCATAGTCAGATGAAAGGATCGAAACTCTCAATCATTATGTTCTTAATAATATCTCAGCATACTCAACCCACATAACAAAATTTTTCTGATCAGATTTTGAAATCAACAGTGGCCTTACCAACATTTTTTTCCTAAGAAAACATGAACAAAATACAAACATGGTTTTTCTCATTGAAGCTTCATTTATCATCTCTAATTACGTAGTGAGGGAGTGGAGATTTCAAATATACACACCACAAAATAATTAAGTATCCCGTTCAATAATCTCTGGTCATTTATCTCGAAACTAAAGAAATGGGCTTAGGCCATTGTTGCGCTGATAGCCTAATGTTACATTTTGTCGCATTGCGATAGAAAAACATTACATCTTCTCAATCGAGCATTTTTCCAGATTCCAGACCCATTCCGCTAGAAGGACCAATCATCTGCGAGTATCCCATACCATCATGAACCAGACAGCATCACAACGTGAGCCTACCAAGTTGAAGTTCGGCATAGACAGACTCCTTTCCTCTTCTCACAACTCCTCCGAAAGGGATCCACCCTGTGCACCCAAACCAGTGGCAGTACCATGCTCGGAATGCGTTTCGTCCATTTACAGGTGAAATAAGAATTGAATGATAATATCAATAAGATGAAAGTGACATCGAGGGAACTGCAAAGTGACCAGGAAAGAGATCATTGGACATAGCCCTCACAAAGAGACCACCGTATACACGTGTTTCGAGCTTTCGGCCCTCATCAGTACGGGGGAAAGGAAGTGCAAAGGATAGGCAGCACTTAGTAGAAAACGGAACAACAAATAAACTTTCTTTCACCGTACTGATGAGGGCCGAAAGAGCCCGAAACACGTGTATACGGTTGTCTCTTTGTGAGGGCTATATCCAATGATATCTTTCCTGATAATATTAAATAATAATAACAACAAAATTAATTATTGTCTCGTTGCTCCTGTATCGTATGAGCAGAGATAAAGTTCTCTGGCGAGATCCCATTGATATAAATCACTATCTATACCCCTCATGCAATAAGAAAGAAGCTATGCTGAATTAGGGATCATGAATCATAAGCAGATTCTAACTGCCATATATCTTACTCACTCTTACTAATGTTTCCGATTACGAAGAAACATGACTTGCTGTTATGAGCGAGACTCTATCATAAACGACAGTGTGGGGGTTCCTGATTTCTGGAATATAACAACTACATAGTAGTTAATATTGGTGGAACCCTGCAGGTAAAATAGGTGAAGAAGTGTACAATCTGCATATTACACGTAACTGCTCAATCAATTTAATAAATGTGTCATATATAGATGAAGAAACCCAAAGTCATCTCCACAACATTAATTTGACGAACAGAGATCGATCACGTAGAGGTACATGTTTCGGGCTTATATCATCATCAGCCGAATACAAAAATTACTTAGTTCTAGAATATCCAACAATTACATAGGATATAGATACTATGAATAATCACTAACATGGAAATGGAAGAGTTGACCTTTTGATAATTTAGACAATAAAATGGCACAAGACAAAGACGTATGCACCATGTTCTGGAAAACAATGGTTTAGATGATGTAAGAGAGAATAAATTGAAAACTTACTAGGCATAATAAAGTTATTTGTTTTATTGAACGAAATTATGAAACTGGTTCCAATTTTTCATTCCGTCTTCTCCCACGGAATGACAGGAAGACGATTGTGGAGGGAGTGTATGAAATGGCGGAAATGTCGGTATTTGGTATTTCAGATACTCTTACCTCAAAATCTGACTTAAAAATTGCCTGAACTAAAAGTGAACTTGCTTCAAGAAATATTTTGGAATTGTTCGCAATTCTACCCAGTATACTTTCAAACACTTCTGGACTCATCCTGAAATTACTTTTGAATGTTGATGAATCCATTTGCGGTATTACTTCTTCATAATAATTTTGAATTTTGGTATGATATTGCTAGAAAATCTGAAAGGATTAACATAAATTTAATCAATTCTTCCTGTAGATAACTTAAAAATACTCATAAAATCCTTTCAAGTATTGAGAGGTAATCTTTATCGATAAATATCAATGTGATTTGCATTATGCCGATGCACATACTGAGGAGGATGACAAGAAAGCGGGAACAACATCCTTTGTGGGAAATTGAGAAAGACGCACCTATTGTTTGTTGTTTGCAGCTTGAGACGCAGTAAAATAAGAGCAATTTTGTGTTAGCCGTAGAAAAATATACTTTTCGCACTAGTGCTAAAAGTGATTTATTTTTATGACATAATATAAAAACATAACTCAAAATGAACTGTTATTCAATTGAAAGTATAATCATTAGAGAAACTACAATAATGAAAAGAAACTCCTTGACCAGTCTCATTGGTAGATGTAACAGATTTTATTTTGGGGAAGGTTGTACCAGGACAGAGAGCAATGTTATCCGCTGAAGTTTTGGACAAAATTTTGTTTGAAGGGATGGGACACTCCGCACCTTTGGCTTCGTGTAGTTAGGTTTAGCACTTAGGTCATGAATAACTATTATGAACTGTTAATGTGAATATTGTAGATAACTCAGTCATCAAGTATTTACTTATCCTTCCTCTTATCTTAACTAATTTTCTTGTGAGAGAATGAAGGTGAAGGTTTCTCAATCATATTTTACAGATTGTGCTCCTTCCTAGCATGTTTTAGTCAATATGTGTGTATATACACAAAGCCATTCTTCTCATTTTCTCAACTTATTTTCTGTGAAGAGGTTTTCACATGTTCAAGCCAAAAAACTCCAGAAAATGAAAGCCAAACAATACCTATTGTACAAAATGGGAACCAACCAATACCCAACCTTGATTTCCTCAGGAAAATACTAAGAAAAACTTGAGAAACAAGAGGGCTATATAGATATATACTCTAGGAAGAGAGCAATAAGGAAGATATGATTTTTAAAACATGCATGAGAACAAGATATATTCTGATTACATTGGATCAAAACTAATCAATTCAATCTATTCACATGAATATCATCATCTCATTATGGAATGCAGTACCCTGTGTATCATATTATTCTCCATTCGAATAAAGGGATTCATGAAAAAGGATTTAGATGGAAAAAGTTCAATGGAAGAGCAGATTAATCACCACTCTGGAAACAGATGGATCTGTGTAATGAGGACGCCAATAAGGAATATTTTTCAAATTTTTCAGAGAAATTCACGGAGAGCCATATTCTGTAGAAAATAAGTTTATGTGAATCGGGAAAGTACGAATATCATAAGGATATTTCACGAAAGCTTATAGAAGGATACTGTTATGTTTTATATTTCTATTCGGATTTTCTTCATTAAACTCACACTTGCTTCATGAATTCGGGATTTTCTTCCTAAATTCAAATTTAATTTTTTATGAATTTAATAATATTCAGACTCTCTCCAAATTTCAGCCTTCTTCTCTGAATTCATACTTCTCTTCTGAATTCAGGCTGTCTTTCTAGATTGCGACTGTTCCTCTGTATATTGACCTCGCTATAAGAATTCCGAAATTTGCTCTGCTCGAAAACTCAGCATTATTATTCACAGGTGCTGCAAAACCAACTCCTCTGGATGTCCACAGCAGGCTGAGATTGCTGGATATGGGGGTCGGCATATATTCGGGTGTGGTCCAACAACGTTCACAATCCAGCCAATAAGGCCCTTTCCAACTAGACCAAGTAGGTATAGAACTAATGAATTGATTATTTCTAGTTTCTATCGAATCTAACTCTCGAACTTATAGTACTGCTCAATAAATTTCATTTTATGTATTCATAATATTAGATGGGTTACAAGGTACCTATGTGTGGATTTTTCCAAGCCTATGCAAAATACATACCTATATAATATTCTCTATACTATAACTGGAATAAAACTAATAACTAACTTTATATACATATTTCACTACATTTAGTTATACATTCTGAATTTTATGCCCTCTCGCTTATTCCAACCGCCTCCAAGTGTGGTTGACAATCCGCCGACTACTGATCAGGTGGAAACCTTTTGAAAGAGTATTTTCGAAGTGAGGCATCCATTCAGCAGAGATACTCCAGCCCTGGCGCAGTTCGTTTCTTTCTACGGAAGATACAGAGAGCCTGAGCCCGAATTACTGCGCCAATCGATAACCACTGGGGAGGTTCCATCAGCCCTCAAAGGCTTCAAAAACTTTGCTGCTCCTGGTCCCGACGGGATCAATGACTTCTGATGAAAGAAAATACCCTCTACCCACCACCACCATTTAGCCAGGATATTTAATAGCTGTCCAAATGGGGAGCAGAAAATCCCTGAGTGGTTTATCGAGGGGCGAACCGTGCTATTCATCCAGACTGGATATTTGTCTAATCCAAAGAATTACTGACCAATTACCTGCCTAAATGCATGTTACAAGTTGTACACACGCATCTTGTACATGAGAGCACACCTAGTAGTTGATCTGGTTTAACAACGGATTTTCGAGCAGCGTGGGTCAAAGAGAGGTGTCGCTGGCTGCGAGGAGAACCTGTTGATAGATAGATCTATTAAACAGGACACCGTGCAGTACAAGCAGAATCTTTCTCTGGCCTGGATCGATTACCTAAATGCATTTGACACAACGTCACATGAGTGACTCGTGTACTTACTCAAGAGTCTGTCCGTACTCGATTCTATAGTGAGATGCATAAAGATAATGTTGCTGGTCTGGAAGACCCGCTTTACCATAACATCAGATAATGCGAGAGTCCAAACAGAGCCAGTCATCATAAGGAGAAGAGTATTTCAAGGGGACTCCCTTAGCCCTCTCCTATTCTGCATCTCACTTCTGCCACTATAGGAGTATGCATCCAAATTCGTCCGTTCCACGGTTATACATAATATCTAGAGACCAGGGTGGCCGTGGACTCTTGAGCGAGGAGTATCTTCATAATAGATTAGTTCTGGATGGCGCCTGCAAAGTCATCATGAGTTCGGATCCCCTTCTGCAAATGGTTAAAACCCATGATGAGGCAGGAGTAGGGGCTTTTCTATAAGGCACATCGAGCAGCCGATGAATTGTCTCTGATTTTCAACTCCATAAGCGCGAGGCTCAGGACTCGCTCGGAGAAAGGCCCGCATCAAAGCTGCAGAAGTGAGGAAGCTCCTGCAGCTTCACATGGATAAGCCCATGCATTCGGTCTACCTCAAGACCATTGAAGACCGAAGAAACTTCAGAATTGAGTATATAAAAAACAGGAACGAATAGTGAAACTGAATAAACAAACATACAAAACAAATAAAAGGAATAAACGTGAGAAACAAACTGGTATAACAGAGGTAAATAAAAAATCAAATTTGATCTGAATCAGATGAAGTATTGTCCTTTTATGGTTAGGACATATCATTAGTTATGTACGTTCATTACTTACTTGAGAGATGATGTCAATTCTCAATATCAGAGGATTTTGATTTTTCATGCTCTCTTTTTGGATATCCAACAGATATGATTCAATGTTCGACGTGGCAAATAGCCAGAAAAGTAGTTGTTTTCTGTTGAATATTCAGAATTATATTATATCCATATCTTTATATGAAGGAGAATGCAAATTGTCTACTTCAGAAGATTTTGTTCTAAAATTCTTATCGTGTGTGTTCAATAGATGTAATTCAATATTCGTCGTGGCATATAGCCAGGAAAGTTGTTGTTTTCAGTTGAATTAACCAAGTAAGAATTTAATATTTTCATCACATATAGAATGCGAATTCTCAATGTATTTCTTCATATATATATATCCATTTTTAGTGTTCATAAATTTATCTGAGAATGTTCCTTTTCAATAATTTGAATATATCTATTGAAATAATCTACTAAATTTTTGACCAGGTATTTTACTGATGCATGGAATGAAAATCGAACTGGCAACCTCGGTCCCCGCGGAGAGTGAGTTGACAACAACTTTCATTCGCTCTGTTGTCGAATTAATTACCAATATGTTCAGTATTGAAATGAAAATTGAAATATATAGAAGAATTATACATTTCGCATTTCAAACCCTCCACAGTAACCTGAAGTCCAGTTACCTTTCAGCCATTCTTCATGATATACACAATTTCTACCTCTCCATAATATAACTAAAACTATACCGAAACTGACATTTGAGAATTATTGTTGACATTCAATCCCTGTCATTCAAAAAATGTTGTTTTCAAATTCTTATCGTGTGTGTTCAATTTACATATAATTCAATGTTCGTCGTGGCATATAACCAGGAAAGTAATTGTTTTCTGTTGAATAAACCGAGAAAGAATTGATATTTTTATGTTGTAAACAACGGAGAAGAAAGTAGTATAGACAAAGCCCTCATAAAAAAAATAACCGTAGACACGTGTTTCGGGAGTTCGGTCCTCATCAGTACGGTGAAAAAAAGTGTGAAAGATAGGCAACACTTGGTGGAAGATGAAACAACAAAACAACGGAGTCAACAAACAGAAGCCAGCCGCACTAATTAGTTGTTTCCCTGAATACTCGGGGTCCTCTGACCGAAACCACAATTGTGCGGCTGGCTCCTGTTTGTTGACTCCTTTATTTTGTTGTTTCATCTTCCACCAAGTGTTGCCTATCTTTCACACTTTTTTTACCGTACTGATGAGGGCCGAAAGACCGAAACACGTGTCAACGGTTATCTTTTTATGAGGGCTTTGTCCACTATTTCCATATTCTCATGTTCATAATTTATCTGAGAATATTCCTTTCACCTAATCAATGGGTACAAACTTGAACGATTATTTTTATAGACCTTCAATTGCAGATTCGTGATCAGGTTTTCTCAATTCAGAATTTCTTTCCACGTCCTATATGATGAATATCAATTCATCATATATCCAAAAATAACTATGACTTCTCAAAGTAATGTAAAAAACTATCAATAGCTAGTGAATATATTTTTTTTTCTGTGATGGGAAAAAAGTTTGGCATTTCATCTCTGTTGGCAGGTTATAAAATGTCACTTTCCATAAATTACTTTTTCCCGTGGGGAAAAAGTGAGTACTTTTTTCCCGGATATATATCACATATACAGGGTGAGTCATTAGTGTGACAAAGTGAGATAACTGCTTTACTATTCGAGATAGATGAATAAAAATTTCAGGGATGATCTAGGATCATGAGCAGCACATATCCAAATTATTTCGCTTTATACAGGGTAACTCAGAAATGCGTGGCGTATTGAAGTTATACTTTTTCTTATGGGACACCCTGCATTTCATTGTATTTTCGCATTTTCCTGTGTGAGCTGATTTCACCATTGCATCACACTTGGGATCTAGCAAGAATGATAACAGAGATTTTTCAACTTTAGGATTTTTTTGCGTCTAGACAATTTTCATTATTGGTCAAAACGGCTTTCATGTCCCTATCCCAACTTTTGATTCACTATCTACTGATATTAATTTGGAACAGATACAAGAGTGATCAGAATGTTGAATCTTGAACCACCCTGTATTTGTTTCAATTAAATGTCAGTAGATAGTGAATCAAAAGTTGGGATAGGGACATGAAAACTGTTTTGACCAATAATGAATAGTTTAGACGCAAAAAAAATCCTAAAGTTGAAAAATCTCGATTTTGAACACCCTATATCTCTGTAATCATTCTCGCTAGACCCCAAGTGTGATGCATTGATGAAATCAGCTCACAAAGGAGAATGCGAAAATGCAATGAAATACAGGGTATCCCATAAGAAAAAGTATAACTTTGATACGCCACGCATTTCTGGGTCACCCTGTATAAAGCGAAATAATTTGAAAATGTGCTGCTCATGATCCTAGATCATCTCTGGAACTTTTGTCTATCCATCTCAAACTGTGAGGCCGTTATCTCACTTTGCCACACTAATGACTCACCCTGTATATACACTGTCGATGGCTTTTGTTGTGCTATAGTTCCGAAAAATGAGTCAATAATACCGTCTCCGAGAAAGAACTGCAAGTCTTTTTATCTTCCATTCGACACAGAATTAGACTGACAGAAGTGACATCAGATATTTAATTACTCCAAAAGAATGATAAAGATGCCTACAACGCAGGTGTCCCTACTGTTAAAAACTTGAAATTTCACGTCGATAATTTTCAGATTTCAAAATAATGTAATATCTTCTCATTATTGATTCGTCCTTTCTTCTGTCACAGAAAAGAATAGTGTATTATACCAGGGCCTATAGGGTGAGATAGAGTAGGCCCTGATTATACACGGGAAAAATATTAGATTTTAGCTCCAGGTTGTGTTGTCTCCCGACGCGTAGCGGAGGGAGACAACAAATACTATTTTTTTTCCTTGTATAATAAATAACTATTAAACCTCGATGTATTGCAGAAAAATTCTCATAGTGGTCGAATTCGATTAGGAAGCCACCAAACGGTGTGCCTCACTTGTAATTAGAATAAAAATTACTGCAGGAATATTTTTTATATGGAAAATAAACTACCATTAATGATTTATTTTTTCCAATCTTATTTATTAATGTTTACATCTTTATCTCAATTAGCTGCTCCTAAAAAATGTTCTGTCTCATAATTCTCGAGTGTTGATACATTTCGATTTGATTCAATATACCTACTTTTACATTATGAATCATCACTGAATATTATTAGCTGTAAAATCGTAAATCCGCCTCTGGGGATGTTTATTTACAATAACATACGCGATACGCGATGAAATGTTGTG